GGGCTTCACACTTGCTAAGCAGGAACTCCACTGCTTAAGCCACAACCCTACTCCTTTTGCTTTTAGTTTGTTTATCAGGTAGATGTTTTTGCCTGGTCAGTCTTGGACTGCAACCCTCCTATCTCCAGTTCCCAAGTAACTGGGATGGCAGGTGTGCACCATCACATCCAACCCTATTTTAACAAAAAATATTTTTTAGAAATGAGTGATTTAAAATATTACAGAAAATTACTTGCATAAATGTTTCAGAAGAGAATAATTTATAAAATGTTATATTTTATAATTATCTGTAATTATAAATATCATTAAAGGAAAGAAGATACTTTATAAATAATGCCTAAATTTTTTTCGTTTCTTTTTTTAAGTAACCTGAGAGATAGTTAAAATTAAACCATATCATATAAGTACAAATTACTGACTCCATAATTAAAATGTTTAATTCAAAATTTAAATACAATATGGAAAGAGTAATCAAGTTTAATCTAAGATAAAGGTTGAAAAGTCCTCAGCTTTCAACTGTTCTCCACTTTGCAAAAGATCATCAAAGGAGGGAACCAGCTATTGACTGATATTTTCCACAGGAGATGGAAATAAAGGCAGAACATAATACTGTATTGTCATTCTTTTCTTAAATTCAGTATTAAATTTGACTATTTTAAGCAGGTGATTTTAATACATCATCCAAAATATGTGACATACAGTCACATATATATGACATACAGTCAAGTTATACTTTTTTTTCTTAATGTGTTCTGAACATAGCATTGGAGATCTAGGGCAAACTTTTTAAAAAATTATCCTGGCTTAGGAATCTTAGCTTCAGATTTAGCCTGTGTTTTTGTATAGTAGGGGATGAATTGGAAAAATATCAATAGCAGTAGTGGAAATCTGTCACGTAAAAGTCTGCTTTCAGAATAGAGTTGGCACATTAATGGATTAGCTTCACTGACAGATCTCAACATTTACAAGAGGAACCTTTTTTTCACATATTCTAGATGAAAATCAATGGTTGCTTTCATAGGTAAAACACATACAGTTTCATTTTATTCAGATGGTTCTTTTGCAGTTATTTTAGGCTATTTCTAAATTTAGTTTTAGAATTGACACCATAGACAACTGAGTTCATTAAAAAATAAGGGATCAAAGCATGCTAATCTGCTCTTCATTGGTTTTAGTATTTTCTTAACCTTAAAATGTTGAATTGAAATGTTTCTAAATGTTGAATTTAAGTACTTCACACATAGATTTAATTTACAGAAATAACTTTAAGAATATAAAATTTTAGTTGTAAAACTGCTAATATTGAAGGGAGGTTTTATGCTGAAGATTGAACCTAGCACCTTGCATATGCAAGTGCTCTCCCACTGAGCTACACCCTCAGTCTCTGGAGATTTTTTCAATAGTAATTCCAAAAAGTTTTAAGACATGAGTAAAGTTTAAATACATGTAAAATTTCACAAAATGTGAAAGATTCTGAATGATTACTCTGAAGAGGTAAAAATCAAAATATACCTTCCCTATTAGGTTATGACAAATACATTTTTTTAATTTTATAGAGTTTTTCTTTTCTTTTTTTTAAATTCATTTATTCACATGTGCATACATTGTTTGGGTCATTTCTCTACCCTGCCTCCTCCCCTAACCTCTCTGTCCTCCCCCACTCAGTTCCAAGCAGGTCCTGTTCTGCCTTTATCACTAATTTTGTTGAAGAAAAGACACAAGCATAATAAGGAACACAAAGCGTTTTTGCTAGTTGAGTTAAGGATAGCTATACAGAAAGAGTCCTACTATTGCTTTTGTGTACACGTGTTACGACCCATGTTGATTCAACTCTAACTGATCTTTACACTGGTTCCTGATCCCCTTCTCATGTTGACCTCTATCACTTTAAGGTTTCTGTATTAGTTCCTCTGGAGTGGGGACATCAGATGCTTTCATGTTTTGGGTTTTCTACCTATTCTTATTATCTCCAGTATGTACTCTCCCCTTGTCAAGTGATCCAAGTCCAACCACATTGCTGCATTTGCCCTTGATATAAAGTCTGCATATGAGGGAGAACATTCGATTTTTGGTCTTCTGAGCTTGGATAACCTCACTCAGAATGAGTTCTCCAGTTTCATCCATTTACCTGCAAATGATAGTATTTCATTCTTCTTCATGGCTGAGTAAAAATCCATTGTGTATAAATACCACATTTTTTGATCCATTCATCAGTAGTGGGGCATCTTGGTTGTTTCCATAACTTGGCTATTGTGAATAGTGCTGCAATAAACATGGGTGTGCAGGTGCCTCTGGAGTAACCTGTGTTGCATTCCTTTGGGTATATACCCAGGAGTGGTATTGCTGGATCATATGGCAGGTCTATGTTTAGATTTTTAAGAAGTCTCCAAATTTTTTTCCAGAGTGGTATCACCAGCTTGCATTCCCACCAGCAATGGACTAGGACTCCTTTTTCCCCACATTCTTGCCAATACATGTTGTTGTTGGTGGTGTTTTTGATGATAGCTATTCTAACAGGGGTGAGGTAGAATCTTAGTGAGGTTTTGATTTGCATTTCCTTTATGGCTAGAGATGGTGAGCATTTTTTTCACATGTGTTTTGGTCATTTGAATTTCTTCTTTTGAGAAAGTTCTTTATAGTTCAGTTGCCCATTTCTTACTTGGTTCATTGATTTTAGGAGAGTTTAGTTTCTTAAGTTCCCTGCATATTCTGGTTATCAATCCCTTGTCTGATATATAGCTGGCAAATATTTTCTCCCACTCTGTGGGTGGTCTCTTCAGTTTAGAGACCATTTCTTTTGTTGTGCAGAAGCTTTTTAATTTTATGAAGTCCCATTTATTCATCCTTTCTCTTAGTTGCTGGGCTGCTGGGGTTCTGTTGAGGAAGTCTTTGCCTATAACTATTAGTTCCAGAGTGTTTCCTGCTCTTCCTGTAGTAACTTCAGAGTTTCAGGTCTTATATTTAAGTCCTTGATCCATTTTGAGTTAATACTAGTACAGGGTGATCGACGTGTATCTAGTTTCTGACAAATACGTTTTTAATGTAAACTACATATTTATCACGATAAAGAAAGCAGAAAGCAGACAGAATAGCACATCCATTAACAAGTATTATCTGCACAATCATTATGAGCTTGTAACAGTTACTGATTATTCTAGTGTGGACCCTAAAAATATCCATTTTGTAGGACTATTGCACCATTATACACATAATAATTACTCAACATGGTGATTAACAAGATTACTGAATTTCATTATTTTATATGAACTGACATTTATTTTGTTATTTTCTTTCTAAAGTTTTAATAACACAAATAATTTTGTTACCTTTTGTCAGAAATACAACAGCTAACAGATAGTGCTTATCATGAGGCAACATTGCTCTAAGTACACCTTTATATGCTCTTGCAGTCTCCAGTTGTCTTAAATCTGTATCATGAGATCATTCCCTTTTTACAGATGAGAAAACAGACAAGTATGAAAACCCTCAAGGTCACAAAGATGACATGTGGTATACTCAGGATTCATCCTAGCCCTCGTGATCCAGTATATCTCTGCTTGCCACTGTACTTCACAATATGCACAAATCAAAGAGCCCACATTCTGGAATCAGAAAAAGCTTAGGATAAAACAAATGAAATGCAATACAATCAGTTTTTGACCTAATGGTATAGAATAACTGCCAAGAGTGTAAGCTCAGGTATAAACTAATGTGTGTCTAAATCCCAAGGCTCCTTCTTCCTCTTTTACCTGAGGGAAACCAAATGTAACTTCATTTCTTTTAGTTTCAGCTTTGGCATCTATTACAAGGGGATATGATCAGTGTCTGATGTTGTAAACGTTAAGATGCATTAAGATCATTTGTGTCTATGTAATATGCTTAGCATAGTACCTGGCACATTGCAAATGCTCATAAATTTTCAATATGATCCATAATATAAGAGCTTTCATAACTGCTTTGTACACAAGCTCACTTCTTATGAGAAGAGAAAAGATAGAGGTCAGTAAATTCTCTACCTAGTGACTTGTACCAGTCTTACAATTCAAAGGACAAATAAATAGGCTACTGAAACCTGAAAAGAAATAAAACAAAAATTCTCCACAGCCAGTTTAGTAATAGGGTACTTCTTGTGGCTCTTTAGTATGTGAACACAGTCTCCTTCATTTCTTTATATTATTTTTACCCCCTTGATGCAACAGGTCCTACAGGTATTCATACATCTGTGATCAAGCCTGTGATTATATTAAAACATCCTAAAAGTTCCCCTTTTTATTTCCTATTGTATGTTAATATAATCCACAATCCAACCTCTATCTATTTATCTCTAAATATATATTTATATATAAATTATAACACATATAATTTATGTGTTATATATCCATTTGACATTTGATAGTAAAATATGTAAGAATCTCACTTATTATTACTCGTCTACTGTTTTCTCATTCATTTTGTAATTTTTAGTTTTAGTGACATTTTGTAACATTATTTAAATCTATGCAATTTTTGTTCCTACTGTAAGTGTACCTTGTATTGTTCAAGCTATTTTTAGACAGCAACCTGGATAATGTCTACAAACACCCTGAAGGCAGAATTTAATACTGAAACTGAATACCATACTAAGGCAGATAGTAGAGTATGTAGTGTGTCAAATCTGCTATAATTGTAGCTGAAATTATCACCATATTTGACAATGACTAAACAAACTAAATTATAAAAAAGTATGTATGGGTATATTTATGCTTTTCATTGGTAAAATTTCAGTGATTTAAAAAGTAGTCAAGAGCGGAAAAGGGAGCCATTAGACAAGAGGATTACACAGTCTTCTTCCAAGCTGCCAGGTTGAACAGATGAAGCCTTCATGTCAGATCAATTCCACAAATAAACAGGAACACCACATGGAGTCTGGAAGTTCCTGCTGGTGTCGGTGTCAAATTTTAACACACAACAACTCTGCTGACTACTGAACTCTCTTCTTTTGGTCTTTTCTCTTTCTACAGGCCATCAAACCTTCTTCTGGACCAAAGCAATATTGACATTACTACCTTCCGCACAACAGGTGACTGGCTGAATGGTGTACAGACAGCACATTGCAAAGAAATCTTCACAGGCGTGGAGTACAGCTCCTGTGATACCATAGCCAAAATCTCCACAGAGTAAGAAAAAAATTCATTGAGGAAAATGAATGCTTATGGATTCTCTCCTTAACATACCTGTTTTGACTGTGTTATAAATGTCAGCAGCACTTCTGAAGATCAATGTGTCTCCTTTAACCACTGAGCTGAGCTCTTCATCTTTTTGAGACCACACTTTCTAGGAGGATATGTATAAGGTGTTTTGTCTCATGACAGGGACCCACTGATAATAAAACCTTCAGGTAGACCAGTACTCATACCCACAAACTCAAGCCCCTAATTTAACAGACATAGAATATTTTCCTTTGTATTTGATTTTTTTTAAAAATCTTCATTTCTGTGAATATGAAAAACTAAAAAATCTGGTACATAAAGAAGCATGCTAAAATCTAAAAGTAGTTTCAACTACTGCTAAATAAATATCTTACATCTTCATCTATTGTCAAGTATCTACTCTGTGAAGAATATCATGTTAAAAATGAAGCTTTAAATAGATGTAAAACAGCACTTTTTTTCCTTAAAAGACCGATAATTGGGAAAGACATAATATGCATCAGAATATTAAAATTAATTTGTGGTTTCATATGTGAAAAACCAATAATAATCAAGTATAATGTGCTATATTTCTTAGACAGTGATCATTTGTTAACAGGAATCTTTAGATAAGAAAAACTCCTGGACTTAAATAAAAGGAGTTTCATAAAGAATCAAGTGAATTAAGTGAATAATAATAAAATTAATCACAAGGTGTGATGGCTAGAAACTGGAAAGCAAAGAGCTAGTTCTTATATTCTTATTTCTCTGGGAATGAGGCCTAATTTACTTCATTTTTCCTACACAGTGATCATTTCTGACACTAGTCACACTGCTATAAACATCTTTCTCAACTCTAAGTTACACTGCACTCAACTGACCAGTAACTGACTCTTAATTCTAAGTCCCCAGGAGAGAAACTAGGACTGGCTCAGTTCCACTTATAGACTGACACCTCTAAGACATTATGTTTGCCATTATTTATCACTTTTGTTCTATAGAAGTTGGGTGATATGGCATTAGCTTGATTCTAGGAAAAGCTTGATTACCTTTCCTGGTAGTAATATAAAGGACTGTCTCAAAGAAAGATGTGTGTGCTGCACAGATACACCAAAAGTTGTCTGGAATAGTTTAGGTTACATGATCTGTTAGGAAACTGATCATATATATGCCAGACTCTTTCTGTCTTCAATCTTTGTTCTGTTAATAAAAACTATTAGTCACTCCAACTTCTTTTCAGTCTTATCCTCTCCAACTAATTTTTGAGTATTTAAATACTGTTGACTGTATAAAGACATTCATTGTCACCCTATCAATCATTTAAACAAAGTCACTGTAGAGAAAAAAAGATGTCAAAAAGTTGTATGCAGTATAATTAATACACATACAAGTACCCACCAAATAAGTGCATAATTTATGCTATAACATTCCAATTAGAAATATAAAACCACAAAAGATAGATAGAAAGCTTTACTACCATTGCAAAGGAGAACTGATTCTTAGAAAATAAAATTGCTCTATTCTATTTAACATGCATTGACATTCGTTTTTAAAGTGGAAGGTAATGTTTATTTACTAGCCTTCTGATCCAATAAATAATAGGCTTTGAGTCTCTATTTTGATCAGAAAAGTTCCCAGAATAAATTCATGCATTCAAATATTATATACTTGTATTTTAGCAATATAAACAGTAAGGGTTATGATATAAAAGACACCTGCTTTAAGGCACAAAAACTTAACAAAGAATAAGCACAAAACTGAATATTTCCACACCATTGGCAGATTTTCAAAGGCAAAGTTATGTAAAGGTTTATTCTCAACAAAATTTCAACACTCAGACTTTTGGGTGGTGAAACACTACATTGAAGTGGATGAGACAGAACACTGTGAATAAAATTACTTGCTACTTCATAATTTAAATATAGTCAACCATTATAAGCAGTGAATGTGGTAAGACAGCTATTTGCTCAAAAAAGGTAAAATGGCAGCATTTCTTAACTTCCAAGTTAGCAATATATTTGTGCCAAAAAAACAGTGTTGGACATTAAACTCTTTTTTGGCTATAAGTCATTTCCTTTTATTATTATTTGCATTTGAACAACCTGCAAATATACATTCAAGATAAAAACTGACTTTCCTTGAAAGTCTGGGTCTTTCAGATTTGTCATTCACACTCTTTCACAGCCTGTCCCCTACCCTCCTCCCCAACACTTGCCCTACAACTTTCTTTCCCATACTTTCTCTTCAGTTTAGTAACAATGTAGGATTAGCATGTATTACCCTAAAACTCCTTGAAAGGGATAGTTTTCTTCCTTTAGTCACCACAGGGTCTTGTACCTCATGCCTTGAGAATCTATTATAAAAATGTGGATTTATAAAATGTCTTTAATACACTAATAATTTAGGCAAATCTGATCAGGTAACATTTTCACCTCAAGTGCTATAATATATTTAAAGGGATATTTTATCTTTTTTTTGCAATCTTAGACTCATTGTTTAAACTTGATTGCTTCAATCTCTATTTTCTTTCTGCCATCCAGACTCAATTCAGAAATGATTTACTTGACTAAATGCTCTAGAGTTTTTCCTAGAATACATAAATGGATATTGAATTTATTTTTCTTTTTAGACTATCAAGTCACATGAAAAGATCAGTTGAGTTTCACCCTCAAATAAACATTAACTTATTTCACTTAATTTAAGAAATTCATTAAAATGCAAGCTATTCAAGACATCTAATTTTCAAATGAAGCACAGAGATGTGCAGCTTTATTCAATAAACATATTTTTAAAAACATTATTTCATAACCTAAGGTTGAATTCAGAAGGTTAAAGTGAGAAAGGAAGAGAGCAAGAGAAAGGGCAGTGACTGGGACTGTGGAAATTAAAGGGAGAATTGCGTATGCAGAATGAGTGTGAGGTAGATTAATCGTTACATATCATTATCCTGCACGATGCATGCCATTTTCAAAGTGTCATCACCTTTTCCTTTGCCTCTGAAGTGCCACATAACACATTAACCTCTGGACTCAATCTTTGGCTGCTCTTTAGTCTTGAACTTTCTGTCTCTCTTCTGAAGAAGAAAATCAAAATGAAATGAGCACAAAGGGTATGTTATTTAGACTGTAGAGGCAGTCCTACTTTGTTCAGACCTACCTTGGACATGGCAAGTTGGTAGGTAGAAGACACCGCAGGAATAGAGAGAAGAGGGTGTACATACACCTAACTAAGTGACAGGCAAAAGGAATAATTTCTTTAATGATCTTTTTCCAAAATCTAATATAAGCTTTTACATTAAGTATATAATATTATACTTGTGTTTTATGTTCCCCAACACAGAATATGAGACAGTTTTATATTGATTTCCTAAGGAGTATGTTTGAGAAATATATCTGTAAAGAAGAGATGAGGTATGTCCCAAATTGGACTATGAAATCTCAACATCTGATATTTTTCCAGTCACATGAGATGAATACTTCAATTTAGAAAGGGAGATCAGCACCAAGCATCAAGACACTGTATTTTATTCCCAAAGAGCTCAAGAAATTAGCATACTACCTGGGAATATTTTTCTGCTATCCATGACTACCATTTTACTTTTAAGTTTGTAAGGAAGGAGAAAAGTAAGACAGAGAATAAAAGCTCCAATCACAAAAAATCATGTGGAATTATTAGAAAGATAAAAAGAAGAAATACAGAGTGAGAATCTGTTGATTTGTATACCTATATTTGTACCTAACCTGTTTTCTGGCTCTATATTCAAGTAAACCCAGTGAATAGTTTGCATAGTTTGGGAATGATTTTGCTATAGTTTGGGGATGAATGAGAAAATATTTGTTTTGTAACGTAAAGATAGATGGTACATAAACATAAAAATCCCAACACACACATTTCAAAAGCACGTATCAAAAGAAATAGCATGCTGCTATAAGTGAAGGCTTTCATTGTCCACAGTTACTCTAAGTGTGGCAAGGCTGGTGTTAACACACTCTAAACTATCCTTGGGAACAGAAGGCAGCTGAGAGTGTGGTCAGAGAGAATCTTGGGTACAATCAAAGCTTTAGAGAATTTAGCAGCTACTTGAATGGTGGCATGAAAGCAACTGTGGGTTCTGAGGAACTTCATTCCCAGCTCAGATAACAAGTTGCAGTACAGTCTTGGTTAATTTCATACAACTGATGTTTAAATTAAGTACATTGTTTCTCAAATCTGTTTTCACATCTTTAGTACTTTTGAACATACTCTTTAGGACATCTAGTAATCCATTTCTGTGTAGTTAAACTCCAGTTTTTTCCCTTCTTGATATGTAGTGGAAAGGAAGCTTCTCTGTGTACATGTATGGTGTATATGTGTCCACACATACTTTTACTTTACTTCTTGTCAATTTCAATTTCCTTGGCTTGCCTTGACAAACAGTGCTTCACTCCCCAGTTAATTTAATCAGAAAAAAGAAACATGTTTTGTATAATTATCTCTGTAGTAGATATATTTCAAGCTGCTACCAACTAGCAGCTATTATTGAAGTGTCCTGCTAACTAGCAGAGTTCAAAGAAAACAAGAGTCCTTGTTCACATGGAATTCACCTTGTGAGACAAGACAGAGAATAAAGAAAATAAATCTGAAAATGATAAAGCTTTTTGGAGAAAACTAAAACAGAAAAGAAACATAGCAAGTGCAGATGAAAGTATAGGGAAGTTTTGCAGTTTTATGTAAGAGGGTCAGGAAATTCTCAGCAGAGGGGAATATTTGAGTAAAGATCTAAAAAGGAATGATTATATGAATGAATTAAATTTTACATAATTTGTCATAATATACATATGTTTGCTAAGACCCTTTTCCCTAAATGAAATTACTTATATTTCTAGAGCCTTTATTTTAATGACTAATTTCTGAGTTTAAATTATTTTTCATTTAGTAGAGATACTGTCATTTTTTCTATTTTGAAAGAATTTTATACTTTAAAGAGGTTGTTCCACTTGTCTATGGCTGCACCAACTTAAAAGTAGAAAGAACAATAACTGTACTGTACATCCTATTGTTACAGGTCATGTATTCAGGCAGAACTCAGGTAGGTGAGCCTTTGTGCTCTAGTGTTGGTGTTGACTGGACCATTCAGCTGATGAATGGGCTAATCTGGCCTGGAAGGATGGAGATGCTTTCATTTAGATGCTTGGTTTGGTGCAGATGACCTCAGTAACTGTTTTTAGCTTGGAGTACTTACACATGGCCTCTTTAGTGCCACATCTCGGGGTCATTAGATGTGTATGACAGCTCTATGACCCCAAAAAGGAGGTCTACAGAGATAAGAAATGGACACTTTCAGTTTCTTAATACCTGAGTGCAAAAGCAAATACAAAGTCACTTTTGACTTCTAATCTCTGACAGTCAAAGCAGTCACCAAGCTGCTTCAATGGAAAGGGATAAAGCCCCCAAAAGAATATGTGACCCTCTGTATTAGTTGGGCTAATAAATAAAAAACTGGTGGAGTTGTCATTACAAGTTACCATAAGCTTATCAGCTTGAACAATGGAAGTTTATTCTCTCAAGTTCTAGAGGAAAGATTATAAAACCTAGACGTGGGTAAGAACACACTTGGTTCCAAAGGGTGTAGGGCAGAATCCTTTCTTATCTGGTGAATCCTGATATTCTTGGCTTGTGGCAATATAACTTTAATCTCAGACTCCGTTTTTACATGGCCTTCTCTGTGGTCACTGCATGTTTTGCCAGTTTCTCATAAGGAAAAACTTACTAGACCTACCCTAATACATTACAACATCTTCTCAATCCTTGCCGTAATTATACTTGTAATGACATTACTTCCAAATAAGGTCAAATTGTGAGTTTTTGAGGAACACTGTTTAATCCACTACACCTTCTGTATTCTTCCCCAAGAGACATGGATGATATAAAAACCAAACTTTAAGTCCAAAGTAGTAGGTATATAATTGTGTCAGTGTCCTACTTGTATACTTTCCAGGAAACCATGATTTTCATCAGATACTTCCTCTCCTTTTACAGCGACATGAAGAAAGTCGGTGTTACTGTGGTTGGGCCACAGAAGAAGATCATCAGTAGCGTTAAAGCTCTGGAAACACAGTCCAAGAATGGACCAGTTCCAGTGTAAATACTGGAAAGAAGTGTTTGTGGATAAAGCAGCATCACTCCGGGGACTAATGATAATTCTGGAGATGCCAGTGAAATTCCAAGTCCAATAAGACACTCAGATATGAGTACAAATGCCTTAACATGGAATTGAAAAATTTTTTATTTTCCCTTATCATTTAGTGGATGGGCGGGTGGGTATATTTTGTTTCGCAATTGATTTTTTAAATGTTAGTTGATAGATTAAATTAAAATTATTCAACTCAAAATGGTGAAGAACTAGCATACAGCCATTGATCATAAACTGACTATCCTAGAAACAAAACAAGTGAAATGACAAAATGGACATGATGACCTTGTTTATTAATAGCCTCAAATGAAAAGACTTGTGATATTTTTATACACAGAAGAAATCTGTAGCAGGTATTTTGTTTCTGTAAAACAAGCAAAATAGAGGAATTTATACCTCAGACTATCCGGCCATATTTACTACCTTATCATTGTATTAGTCTCTTTTATCTATGTTTAAAGCATTTAGAGATGAAATTTGTAGTTGTTTTAAGTACTATGCCTGTTTAAATTGTTAGCTTCCTTAAGTATATCATGTAAAAATGTCTTAATTTCTGAAAAAAGTACATATTTATTTTCTTTTGAATTGTTTTTATTTTTTATATTTATGCTTTGATGATTTAATTTGGATTTTGTACAGCCAAGTGCCAAATGCTCTCTCAAGTTGTCAGCACTAAGAAACATACTTAATTAGACACAGAGAAGCTGGCTTTCTTTCCAGAGGGTTTTTTTTTAAGCCATTCTCTTACATATATTTAAAAATGGTACACTTCCCCTGCTCAAACAGTAACCAACTCTCTCAAAGTCTGAAATACCCAGTTCATTTTTCTCTTATTATAAACTGTGTGTTCCTAATTTAGTGGCTTGTATGTAATGGATTTTGAACCAGATGACATACCTATCCTGCTCTGGTGCTTAGACGTCATCAACTCCCTCCACTCATGAAGCTGCCATGATAGAACTCCTGAGAATAGCTACACTGGAAATAATTGAAATGCTATTTAGATTGTTGCATTAATTAACAACAGCATGTAGACAACTGCATGAGTCAAAAAAGTACTTACTAACTAAAAAGTCACTTAATATCTTTGCTTAAACTTGCTGAACTGTTTGTAGGAACTGATGGTAGCTGAACTAATAATCTGTATAAGTGGGGTTTGGGTCAATTGATTAAACATTATGGTCATCAATATCAGGTATAATCATCTTTAAAAGTCTTCCACTTCAGTGCACCTGTTGTAATTTTGGTATATAACTTAGAATCCTTTAACTTCTTTCCATTCGTTGAACATATCACTATTGCCATAGCTAGTTATATAGCAAATGCCTCAAAATGTGTAGGCATTGGAAAAGTGTCTCATTGCAGGGATTTAGACTTGCTGTCACATAAAGGCTAACTGTGAGTCTGTTCATTGACATGTGAAAGGATATACCTGGTGGAGATCTAGCTGCTAATATATTCTGAAGCAACATTTTAGATAGTCCTCATCATGCTGATGCATCAAGCCATGGATATAAGAATGCATACGTCACAAGAATAGAATGTACGAAACAATGCTGCAACATTTATGTTCATATGCAAAATGAACATAAAGAAATATAGCTTCCAATCACAGGTCAAAATTTATAAGTGTTAATCTGTTTTAGATTTAGTATACTCAGGCTTAAATTGTGTTCATTCAGATGTGAGATTGTTTCCCAAATGTTGACACTGCTCCTTATAGTTATTCATGCTACTAGAATTTTATATTGGATAAGTATAAGCACGAACTTTTTTAAAAGGCACATGTGATTATAAATTAATCATGAATTTCGCTTAAGCCTGATAGAAATAGTGAGGAAAAAATTCTTCTAATTAAGTATTTTGTGTTTGAGAAATTAAATTGAGTTTCAAATCTGGTGTCTAACTCATTTTTTCCCAGATTAGCATTTACTTTTGCAGATATTATTCTGGGGATCATGCTCAACAAAATTTGCGAATCTCATAAACTCATAGTAACTGAGGATTGTTGAATCTATTGCACTTATTTTGGCTGTCTTATTGCTTGAAAGTAAAGGTTGTATACACAGTATATTGCTCTTCATTCTTTTCAACATTTTTCTACCTAACCTCTTTCAAAGTTACGTTACATAATTCTTACCCTGTACATATGTAAACATAGCAGTGTACGATTCTTAACTGTGGAGTAGAGGTACTAGAGTGCTTGTGGCCATCACTTTGTACAGGAAAGGCATCACTTTCAGTAAACATTAAGTTACAACTCCTTCAAAATGTTATAGAACATATTATCTGTTTTGTATCTTAAATTTGATTTATACATATTATTTATTTCTGGTAACACATCCAGTTTATGCTGTACTAAGTACCTATTAAGCCATGTATAAATGAGATATGATTGACAATATGTGTTCACTTTAAACTTGCTGTTTCAAAACCATTATTCATTTAGTTTATGTTGTACAATGTAGATGGCCTCTTACTAATGTAAAATGATTTGTAGTGGAAACATTTATATTTTTATAATAAACATAATGAAAATATTTTTACAGATTGGAATACAGAAGTGGTCTTTGAAGCTTTTTTAAAATATAAAATATGTGCTTATTGAAACAGCAAAATAATGAAATTTATACAAGCCACAAAACATATGCTTTTGTTTTTTTCCCCATGAGTGAGAAGAGAGTCATGTTATATGACCTATTTTTGGTCCCAACTTCAATATCAATAAGTTAGAAAAGTAATTAGTAAATGTTATCTACATAGTTAATGAATATAACTATATTTGGTCATTCTCTTTTGATTACATGTCACAAAAGTGAAGCCCTTATCATTTGCAGTCCTTTTAAAGAAAATGATTTAAATGAAAATAGAAAATGCTAACTCATAATATAGGCAAATTAAGTTGGTGATCAAACTTCCTATAGAGATAGAGGTAAATAAGGAGATGGCACAAAAACAGACCAGATTTGAGTGTTCCTTAAAAAAACAAATAGCATTCCATCATGTTGTGTGGAGAGAGTTGTAATGGATCTTCTAAGGAAAGGGAAAGCATTGAAAATGTCTTTATTCATTAACTAAGCATGTAACAAACACTACTATGGGTGATATAGTTTCTCACTCCCTCTCTCTCTCTCTCTCTCTCTCTCTCTGTCTCTCTGTCTCTCTGTTTTTCTCTCTTTCTCTCTCCCTTTTCCCCTCCTTCCCTCTTTCTCTCATCTTAATTCAGAAATGAGATAATATCTCACTATTTAGCACAGGTTGTTCCTGAATTTGCAATTCTCCTGCCTCAGTCTCCTGAGTGCTGGAACTTGCAGGTGTACACAATCACACCCAGACAGGTGCTTTTGCTACCATCAATTATAAGCTTTCATTAAATCATTTGCAATAATTCTATAAATAATTGCCATTCACTTTTAATAGACCATGGTTTAATAGACTCTAGGTTCAGAATGTCCAAGTCATCTTCACTCTAGAATATAGATCATCCAAGTGTACAAACAGATATTTAAAACAGGAGCCCTCTTTTTTTATTTTTTATTCATTTATTCATATGTGCATACATTGTTTGAGCCTCTCCCTCTCCCTGCCTCCTGCCCCCTTTCTCTCATCCCCAACCCCCTTGCTTCTAGGCAGAACCTGTTCCGCCCTCTTCTCCAATTTTGTGTAAGAGATGATAAGAAAGACAGGAACCTTCTATTCTGTTTCCTTTCCTTCATACTATGGTGACTATAATTCCTGAAATGCACTGAGAACATTGATAGCAGTAATTAGCAAAAATGGCCTAGCAGAGACTGTAGGTTCAATAGTCTATATTGTTAGAAATCTATTCTGCATATGGAGCTATACGTACCCTAACATCATCATAATAGGAATGTGAAGAATGGAAAAGCATATAAAGATGCCTAAAGAAAGGAACAATAACAAAATTTATTGATTAAAAGTAGGAATTAAAGTATATTAGGAATAAAATACATGTCCTGAATGTTTGTGGAAATACTAGCACCACTAGTAAAAGAAGGGAATAAGAAGTCAACTTAACATCACGAGTTTGCTAAATATATTTATAGTGTTAGCCAAAGTTTACTAAGTTAATATGTATAAAGATGTGAATCTGAACATTTAGGAAAAAAAAGAATTCAAAGGTAAAAATGTATGTAAAGCTATCTCTAATAGAAAGTGAAAATTTACATAATTTTATTTTTAGCGTATACAGACATATTTTTCTACAACTACATTTCTTGATATAATGATAGCTCTGTAATAGTTAAGTGCTAAAATATAATCAAATTAAAGTAATAAAAATATATATGCAGCACAGAATAATCCAAGGGAGGTGTTTGGCAGGTGGCATTGTTTGCAATGACTCAGATTCCATGCTTTCTTCAAAGTGTGTCAGGCCTTGGAATATTTTGCTTCCAGCTAGGGAGAAAAAAAGAGACGACAGTGAAAGGTAAGCTTCATGCAGGGGCCATAGCACTTCTTCTCTCATTCTGTTGGTTAGAACTCAATCATACTGTTGTTCTCTTTTATATATAAATTTTTATTAGGATATGTTCATTATATGGGGGGATTCATAGTGACAATTCAGATTAGACTTATAATGTACATTACATTGCCCCATCATCTTTCCCCTCAGCCTCCTCCCCACTCCACTTAAAGGAATTCCAAGAGGTTTCTTAGTTTTGTTTCATATAGATATGTGAAGTCCACCTACCATATACCATCACCTTAATCTCCTTCCCTCACCTTCCCCCCACACACTGTATCTATTTTACAGTCCTGGTTTTCATTATTAATATTTAAGTTGATGTTCAAAAGGGTGTCTCAATATATGCCAAATGTGAATGTGCTTTACTTTGGTCCATTCAACCCCTTCTATTACTCTCTCTTACCCCTTTACCTCCCACCCCCCATTTTTTAACAGCTTTCAATACATATCCTTATATTCTCTACCTTCACATCTTATGTTATACATTATTACTCATGCTCTATCATTCTTTTCCCTGAGTTCCATAAAGTAGTTCCACTGTTACAAATATATTCTCCATCTGAGTTTGTATATGATCATGCTTGTTTTTGTGTACATGTTTATCTTTGGATCTATCTTCCATGTATGAGAGAAAACATATCGCTTTTGTGTTTCTGATCCTGACTTACTTCACTTAACATGATGTCCTCCAATTGTATCCATTTACTTTCAAACACATGTCAATATTCCTTATGTATGTATCACAATTTCTTGATCCATTCATCAGTTGTACAGCACTTAAGTTGTTTCCAAAGATGGGCTATTGTGAACAGTGCTACGAAGAACATCGGTGTACAGGTGTCTCTACTGTATCCTGTCTTACGTTCTTTTGGTAGATGCCCAGGAGTGGTATCACTGGATCATATGGCAGTTCTATCTCTAGCTCTTTGGGAATCTCCATTCTGCTTTCCATAGCAGTTGTCTAATTTGCATTCCCACCAGCAGTCAAATTTTTACCAGGCCATGCTTTATCTTGGTTGATCCCAGTCAGTTACTCAACATAGTGGGAGCACTGGAGTGGGGCCATTTCTTCTCCCATGGTTATGTCCTTTAACAAGCAATCTTCAGTCTTCCTCTAATTATCCTGACTGAGACTTTCTCAAAAATGCACTGCAGTCTGAGCTCCTTCTTATCCATTTGTCCTTCCTTCACTCCTTTCTTTTATAGATGATTGAGCTCATTTTTGTGCTATAACAAAATACTATATAATGGATAATTTTTAAACAATAGACATGTATTTCTCATAGTTCTAGAGGTTGGGAAGCCAAGGTCAGGGCACCAGATTTTGGAGTCTTCTGAAGGCTTTCATATGGCTGGATGGGTAAATGTTATGTCTTCACATGGAGAAAGAAAAGATGAAAGAAAAAAAAAGGCCTACTCTACTTCTTTCTAGCTGTTTTATAAGGCAGAAACTTTATGACTTAATCACTTCTTTAAAGGTTTTACTTTTAAAACTACCACAATGAGGATTAAGTTTCAACTCATGAGTTTTGGGAGAAAATCAGACCACAACAATAAGTGTCAGAATTTCTTTTGTTTGATTGATTAGTGATTCTAGACATTGAACCCAGAGCCTTGTGGTCTCTATGTCTTCAATCATGCCTTCAGGACTTTTGTTTGTATTTTGTTTCTTAGGTAGGATCCCCATAACTTCACTTTCAACATGGGATCCTCCTACTTCTGCTCCCTGAGTAGCTGGCATTATTACTGGTGTTTGCTACCGTGCCTGGCTTCTGAATCTATATTTTCACCTGAAAGTTGAAACTTTCAGGTGCATTCTCTTACTCTGTGACTGAATGGTCACAGAAATTTCCACCAAAAATTTGTTGGCAAGTCTAATTCTTTTTGATTCTGCTTTTTAAAGAACCTACACTGAGACAACTGTCCAGTTGACTGACCTGGAATGAATAATGTCATCCTTTACTCTCCTCTCTATCTCCTTTACAGTGCCTAAAAGATCACCTGCTCACTTCCATCCTTCTCTTCACAACCCATCACAAGCTCTGCTGGGCCCTCATTAACTTGTCTGGATTGCTAAGGGAGTTTCCTAAGTCGTGTTCCCCCTGACTCCAGTGCTCATATCTCCAATACATTCTTTAATGTGCAGCCAAACTAATATAGTATAGCAAATTTAATTTTGTAGTTTCTCCTCAGGAGGCCCACCAACTCAAATGCCTCAGGGGCCTGGCAGGTTATACAAACACATGAAGCATATGAAGAGTGCAGTGACCCCTAAAAGCACCTTTCCTTCCTCCAAAAACAACTCAGGTACAAGGCAATACCAATCTAATGTGAATTCTGGATTTTTCAAGAGAATTCTTTATTTGAATTTTTGTGAGAATTGCTCATACATTTTAAGTATAATAGTCTATCTAATAATGAGGAAAACATATCCATGGGCTAAATTTAGCCTGAACTTGTGAACTTTTCATTTCTAGAATACAGAATACTCTTTAGTATGGATACAGGAGAACTTTTTTGAATAAACTCCTGCTTTTTTTTTCCCACTAGTCCACTATGTCTGCACACCCTACACAATTGTAATAGAATATGTAGTTTTTGGAATTTGTAATACTTGCCACCATATTTTTTATTCCATCAAAATCTTTGATCTTTTTATCCCTCTGTTTAGAATTACATAGCCAATATTTATTTATCTTTCAGATTTTTCTTCCCCCACCAACACTGGGTCAGGTGACCTGTTTCTGTACATCAACAGAACTCTATGTTTAATATGGACAAAGAACTTGGCATCTTATACTGAAATTCTGTTCTTTATGTCCTATCACTATTCCTAGCTAAGGACACCTTGAATAGAATCTGTGCTTTTGGAAACCGCTGTGACCGTATTGTTCATTGCAATGTACCTGGTATGTAGTAAGTGTGAAAATAATCTTGAGTTGAATTAATATATTAAAACAATGTTTGATGACATAATAAAAAGTGATAACCCTGATTCTTTCTCTGTAGGGGAAAGTGTAACTTCCTTCAGATCAATAAAAGTACTTAATGTTCTAGTTACATATCT